TAACAGGGAAGCGTAGTGACTTATTCATGATGTGCGTACTAAACCCCCGCTCACTAGAAAAGCCTAAAGAATGATGAGCAAGGAAGGAATTGTTAGAGAGCAGGTACCCAACCACATCTCTTGCACCCCGAGCTCTACGTAACACAATAGGCAGGTCCTTGTGGACAGACAGATCCCTGTAGGAGCTGGATACAAAATCCTTTAATGTAACAAGGCCACTCTTGGCTCCACCATGCTGGGCCACAGAATCATGCATATGAACCCCTGGGTTAATGGTCACAGCAACAATTCTCTTCTTAAAGTGCACCTGACGATACACTTTAACTTTAGTATAACTCGAGCACTTAAAATACCTGGTTTAGAAAGTCAAGATAGCCAACACTCATTTTATCCCATGTTTCAACTAGCATTTGCTGAGATCTGCGCCAGGGCCTGTGCTGAGCACATATGACTAGTTTACCAATGAGAAAGCCAATGCTAACAGCTCCTGAACAGCCTGCCCATGGTTGCACAGCTCATAGATGACAGAGGTTGAAAGCCACACCATCTGCTTCCTGATACCATTAACTCTACTCTGTGAAGTGGAGGGGAGTAAATGAAATTTTAAATTCAGTTCAGATTATTCAAGGACATAAGTCTGAGTCAATATCCAAAGTTAAACTTTTACAGTCATGTTGCGTATTGTAATACGGTCCTGGAAAAATGCTGAGACTCAGTAATTGGTGTCCAAAGGTTCTGTGATAAATTATGTATGGGACGAGAATTTTTAAAGAGAGAAAAGAAGCAGAGGGCAGAACTGTGGCAGAATATTCGCATCGTTAGAGCAGTTTGCTGGCCCCTTTCCCCTTTGATCGCAGGTGAAAGTATACTGCTCATTCTGATTGCAGAATTCTTAATTCTCTAAATTGGGAATCAGCTGTCACTAATGGAAGTGGGTGCAAATGGAAACTTGTTCGCGGCTGGCAGGAGAAGAACCCAAGGGCTGCCATGTGGCCGTCACAGGTAGAAAAAAATTAAACACAGTATAAAATATAAAAGTAATAGCCAATATCAGAAGGTCATATGGTTACAATGAAACGTCCAAGTGTAAAAACTGAGAAAAGCTCACCATAAGGAAATAATCAGGAATTAGAATAAGAATCTAAATAGGAAACATGATGAAACTTCATAGGAAATAGGAACTAGCTAGGAATACTGTGCAATGTATTATAACTCCTGTGTCACTAAGGCTACCATCAGACTCAGCCGTAAGGATGGACAAACATTTTTATGGGTGAAAATTTTGGTGTACTTTAAAACCCTACTTCTTTTCCAAATAGTTTCTACTGGTCAGTGGCATGCTCATGTTCTCTCTAGCTTAAACACCCCTCCTTAAGCCTTACCACTCCTTTAGTTTTAAACATTTTTTGCCGTATAAATCAAATATTAAATTCTGCATATATCAGGAGAGAGTTGGGAATTAATAATGTCCAATGAATATTTTAGCATGTATTTGTTTACCCAGTTAAGCAAAGTTGTTGACTTAGAGGAAAAAAAAAACCTATAAACTAGAACAGGATGAGGATTGAATGTGGTGATGTATTGTTAGATGATAGAGGCTAGAGGGAGGAAGGTGATTAGTCTAGATTACATACATAAGACAGATCCACAAGGNTAAGAAAACAGCTTCTTTAATTTAAATTTTAGTGGCATAATAAAATGATATATGCAGCCATGTTGTTTGTATTTAGACTCATTAATGCAATCACAATTTAAAATTACTCTTAATATTAATGCTTGTGAACCACTTGGGCCTTGATTATCTGTGTATTTAAAGCAAAATCAGAATGTGGCTGTAACTTAACTGTTTTAGGAGTAGCCTTGTTCTGCATCTATTTACTTTTAGCCAGTTAATGGAGCATAACCTGACATCAAGGTCAGCTGGTGGAAAAGAAGAATTTGGACATCTATGTGTTGTCACTGCTGTCTAAGAAACCTGTGGTGGAAGACTGGGGTCTCTGTTTCCTCAAACGTAGTTGGCATACTCCATTACTTCTCAGGCCTATTGTGAAGACCAAATAACCAAATATTTAAAAAGACTGCTAATCATTATACACTAAACTACATTATACAATCAAAATTATCTCAATTTCTGAATATGAGAGCAGTCTAGATATATTAACAAGGCTCAGGATATCTCATCTCATTGCAATTCTTTTAGACTAAGGTATCCAAATATTTTAGTTGTTGCCACTGAACTAAGAATGAACCTACTGGTCCTTGAAATTGAGTTTTGGCTTCTGGTAAAATAGTTTGCAAATGCATTGGTCTGGTGCCTTGGTATTTCAAGTGTGGTCCATGGGTTAGCGCTATTAGCATCCCCCCGCCCCCCCTTCCCCACCAAGAGCTTCTTAGAAATGCAGATTCCCTGGCTCCATTGGACCTACTGAGTTAGAATCTACTTTGTAGCAAGACCTGTAAGTGATATACACGCACTTTGAAGACTTAGAAGCTCTGTGGTTTAGGGGTTAGATCCATTGCACAGCCTTCATAAGAATTTAATGTTTAAGATTTTGTTTTGTGGGTTCAAAACTTTCCTTATTTACTATGTGCGGCCCCCAGGCATGTAACAGACGTTTTGGCTTCTCATTTTTCTCATCTGTAGTATCTACCTCATGGGATTAAATGATATAAAGATCGAATGGGCCAAAATTTACCCAGCATTCACAGCAGTGATATCCAAAGCATACTAGTTATAAGTATTTAATAATGCACAGATGAGACCATTGACATATTATGTGCTATCTAAAAGTTACTTGTTAATGATGAGAAAAATCATATATGTAAAATCACAAGATAATTAACAAAATGATTCATTAACTCTGTCTCACTTTTCCTTGGTCTTTTAGAGACCACGTTGAGCTGCATATACCAACTATGAGAACCATTTAAATCTCTAGAGCTGGATTCATCTTCAAAATTCACTTTCTGGCCTTTATCTCCTACTCCCACTGCCAATAAATGAGGTTTCCTTTCCTCTGGTAGCTGAAATGAATGCCTTAATGTGTAGTGCTAATAATTACCCATTCAAGTCAGGATCATTCTTTCTGATATAAGCCATGGATATTAGAATGCATCTTTTCAAAATTAAAATACATTCAACATATGCTTAAAGAGGCATGTTCTGCCTTATGCTAAGACCAAAGATATTGAAAATTCTGATAAATATTAAATGCCTACTATAAGTTATCTACATAGAACACTTAAGCTATTTAGAACATAGACCTAAGATTTCAAAAAAGAATTTGAGCACATGCAAGATTATTAACATACATTTTAACGTTTACACATAACCACCCTGTGAACTAATGCTTTACTTTCCTTTACTAGATGACGGAACTGAAATGCAAAGAAGTTAATTGTCTTGGTACCCAAGTCCTCTATTTTGAGTTCAAAGTTGTTGGCACACATATTATTAGAACATATCTCTCTGTTGTCTTATTTAAAACAACTTGTCTAGGAACAAAATTTCCTTTATAAGCTTGACCTGAATTCCATGGAGGGCAGAAAAGGGTATAGTCTCTTCAATGTGAGGTTGCTAATAGTGGCGTCTAAGGAAGAGATTGGTGTTTCTGTCTCAATTATAATTCTTAGTTTATATAAGTCATATGAGGACAATATAACAAATTGTTGTTTAATATTTTTATGTATGTGTGTACCAGTATACACATCTTGGGCAGAAAAAATACCTCAGTGGAATAAATTAGTCTAAGATATATTTATGTGGTTTCTCATCTATAATTAAAGTAAAATCAAAATTTTACTTTAGAAAAATCATAAGAATTTGTAGGTAATTTTATAGGTGTGTAAGATAAGTGGGTATCATTCATAATACTACCATACTATTGAAAGGTCTGTCTTATGCTATACTTAAAGATAAGCAATTAATATTGGCAACTTCTGATGTTGTCACATGGCATTTGAACTTTTTATAGTGATTAATATTTCTGTTATTAAATATTTGAGTATTCTCTCCTATGAATACATTTAGATTTTTAGCATCCCACTTTTAGTTCTATTAAGTCAAGACTTTTAACTGGTGTTAATTTAATTTACCAGTGCTCACAAAAATCACTATTTAGATTAGTCATTTTGTATGACATTTATCATTAATTAGTACTACCAAAGGCAAAATTATAATGCTGTTTTATATAATTGTACCTTTTTGTTAATTTTTTATTGATTTTAGCATTCTCTTGAGCTAAGAGATTATAATATAAAATGACAAGCTGAGGTCAAGATTAAGTGGTTCTAGTTGATTTTCCAAAGAATATTTAATGCTTTCTTTAAAAAAAAAGTTTTGTTAATTCCATACTATTTCCTGCAATAAACTCATGACCTCAAGGTATATCTACCTTGAAATTTTGCTTTCTATTTTGTCTTTTTATGAAAAACATGCTCTACAACTATTGATACTAGTACACAGTGCCACCTAGT